CCCCCCCCCCGGCTGTTGCAGCAGGATACTGGACATTGCGGATTGTGTTCCGCGCTAAAAAGGAAAATGACCTCTCCGTGGAGCAGGAAGGGAGCGCGAGGGGACAGTGCCACCCCTTTGCCACGTTTGCTTTCATCGTGTGATGCTGGTTTTGGGTTTTGGCTGCCCATGAACTTTTATTGAGGCTAGTAATGAGAGAAATTGATTTATCTATTTTTAACCCCCATTTTTCCATGCTGTTGCATCGAGCTGGCTTGGCAAGCAAGCAGGGCTCAGCTGGAAATGACGGTGCCGGGCTACGGTCCAGCTCTGGAAAYACCCATTGAAACATGCACGTTGACTGTAGATACTGCAGTGGACTTGAAGTGGACGCTGCTCTTTAAAGAGGACCACAAAAGAGTATCTGAGCATGCAGCTCCAGCTTGGGTGCCGGCTGCTGAGATTATTCTGTGCAATTCTTTGCTGTTTACGTCCAGAAGAAGCTTCAGGGACTTAAACTGGGTTGGAAAAAATGCAGTTCTTGCATCTGAAATTATATGCAAGGCACTGTGGAGCTGCTGTGAGCACTTGTGCCCTTGATAGCTGCGAGGCATTCTGTATTCCAAGCAAACTAATTTGTCAGGAGGAAGGCTTTTTTCTTCCTTTCTCTTTACATTTCTTTCTGTTACCTCTAATCATGCTGTTCTGTAACTGAGTAGGTTTAAAGGCAGTGGCTTCACTTCCCAGTCTAGCACTTGTGGCCAAGCTGAGGTTCACACGCGCTCTTTGGTAGCTCTCACATTATGAAGAGCCTCGTGGAAATTCAGAGCCCTGGGTGCGTTTTGGAGTGCTGAGGGGCTGTGGCAGTGCTGGCCAGGACTAAAGCAGGATAGGTGCCCAACAGGCCCTACCAAAGGGTTGTCAGGTAAGTAGTTTTTCCCAGCAAGGTGGTACAAGAGCCAAGAACGAGGAGTTTGACCTCTCCTTGGAAGTACTTCTCACCATCCCACCAGGGCCGCTGGATACAGTCTCTAGTTGTATGTGGAAGCAGTTGGTTGTTACTGAAGAAGACACAGCTACAGTAGTATTCAGTAGACATCATTATATATTCAGAGAACAGGTTTCTCTGTGTATATATATAAATAATATATATTTGGATATAATATATTTCACTGGAAGAAAACAAAAATATCTCCATTCTCCTTTTTCCCTTCAGCTTTAAATATACTCCTTATCGAGAGGACCTCATCTGTCTATCAGATCTGCTTTTCATGCCCTTCTTATGACTTACRTTGGCACTTATATTGGCTTATAGGCTTCACAATTTCTAAAAAAAAAAAAATTCTTGAGGGAAATTTAGGAAACACATTCCCCTTTTTCTAGCTAAACTCCATCCAGAGAATTGTGATTTTATTAATTCTTTGAACAATAGTCAGAACATCATTAGACTATAAGGTAAAAGTCCTTCTGCCAATACATGCTATGTTTGATCTCTTAACTTTACCATGCTAATAAACCAGAATAAGTGAATGTCATGTGYGGTAACTCATATGTAACGTGGCACTCTTGCCTGCCATTTCAAGCTTCCTTTAAAACCTAAGGAGAAAAGAAAACCTCCCTAATGGGCTTAACTTTTACCTATTTGCATGCTTCTTGACGGGTGCTGGTGACAATCTGGAGGAAGTACAGTCATAAAACCGTCCTTCCTGTTAAACTGATTCAGCTTTTGTTTTGGCTGGACTTTGAGACAGAAAAAAGCAAAAAAAAAAAAAAAAAAAAAGAGAGAGAGAGGAAGTCCAGAAAAGGGAGGGAGGGAGAAAATGGGGGTGTTTGGTAACTTGGTGCTGCAGAATAGAGGAAGCAAGCATATGTCAGGAGAACAACTTCGAAAGCAAGTGGTGGTGAATCAGAACGCTGTCACACCAGTCTGGTGTTGTAAAGGAAGTCGTAAACGCCGTTTTCCCGGTTAAACTCCGAGGTGGTCTCCGCCAGCCGTGTTGCTGTGCTGGATGCAGCCTTGCTCTGGTTGGGACGTGGCGGAGCAGCCGCTGTGTCGTGCGGAGCATCTCCGCTGCGGTCTGCTTCGTCCCTCYCTGGGCGCGCCGTGGTAGCAGAGGTTGAGATGCCGCTTTCTAGTTCACGTATCGCTGTGCTATTGTGCTATAYTGAAAACTCTTTCTCCCACTTTGCTCTTCCCTGCTCTAGATTAAGCAGCAATGGCATTTGTGAAAAGTGGATGGCTGCTCCGGCAAAGTAAGTAGTCATGGGCCTCTTAGCTACCTCTCTCTCTKCTCTATCTGTTTCAAAATATCTCTGCTAATCAGTATTCTCAAGTCTTTTTTAAAAATGTCTCTACATCTGTAGGATTTTTTTTTTCTTTTTTTTTAATTTTAGGATACCTCCCAAGTTGGTCATGAGAGCATTTCCATGTGACCTGTTGTGTTATAGCAATGAGAACACAGGATATACCACATCTGAGGTGTCTGATCGTTGTGCTCAGCTTTGGATGCTGGTCTGTARTTAGTGCTAGAGAGGCGAAGACTTGGAAACTTTACCTGATGCCTTATCTTAATGTTCTCAATTAGTCATGCTTTCTACTTGTTCTTGCAGCAAGCTAGAAGTAAAGCACTAGGTTATGTAACTAAAATAAACTCGGTTGTGACTTTGAATGATAGATAAGATGTTGAAACCAATTCTGTAATGTTCTGAAGCAGGAACTTAGTGAAAATGTATTAGGAATGAGCAGTTGGAACCTCTGATGCCTTTGTCCTCCATGTCAACTGGAAGGGATTCACTGGTTTTATTTTGCAAACTGTAAGATGCAAGTACTTCCCAATCTATGCTATCAGAATTAACTGTCTGATTTTTAAGGTACTATTTTACGACGTTGGAAGAAGAACTGGTTTGACCTGTGGTCTGATGGCCGTCTAATATTCTACGATGATCAGAATCGTCACGATTTAGAAGATAAAGTCCACATGCGAATCCATTGCATCAACCTCAGAGTGGGGAATGAATGTCGAGGTAATAGGTCAAGACTTCTGTGTTTAGAGCTTCCTTTCAACTTGTATACCTGCCCGGTATACCCTTTACTGCAGAAGTAAATGTGACCAGAAACTTCTATTGCCATTTTTTAAAAAAGTGAAGCATTAAATCCACGTAAAGATGTCTGTGGCATGGTATCACCTTGTGGTAGAACAGCTTAAGGCTTGATGCTTCCTTTTAAAACTCAGAGGGAGGACAGTGCCTCCAGAAATGCAGGAGCCAGGCATGGCTGCGAGAGGGAGGGTTGACGGTAGCCTGCCGTATGTCTAATTATGGAGCACTACTGGTGTAATTACAGTTTGTTTGTTGGAATTAGAGGTGGGACTGGAGATGGGAAACCCTAACAGGCTTTTCTCAAGCATTAAGTTTTTTTTCTAGCATCAGTTAGACTTCCACTTGATGCTGGGTTAGTATGTATTGGTTTTGCTCTAAGACATGTGCTTTTTTTTAAAGAATGCTGCTCATGACTAGYTCCTTTCAGGAAATGCTAGAGAGAGGGCAGGTTATTTCCTTTTGTAATTCGTCCTGGTGCCATGGAAAAATAGCTGTAATTAGCTCTAGTTTATTWTGTCCAAAGTTCTGCACAAACTGTCTCCCTTATAGTGAGTGGGATCCTGGTTATGGATATTTTTCAATTAATCTCTTTCTCGCTCAGATTTCCAGCCTCCAGAGGGGAAGCAGAGAGACTGTTTACTGCAAATTGTTTGTCGTGATGGGAAGACAGTCAACCTCTGTGCAGAGAGTGCAGATGACTGCCTGTAAGTCTGCCAAACAGTATTACTTTGCTAGCTCTTTCTCTTTCACCTTTGCCTTTCTCCCTCTCCCCAGTTGTTTGCCTTTGTTTGGACTTTTAAAGACACATTTCAAGAAAATTTTCAAAAATTTAAAAAGCAGTTAGCAGACTTTCAGTGACAAAACACATTGCTCTCTTCAAAGGGGTTGTCTAGCTTATGTAAGTGTAGTTCTTCTAAACTAACTGCAAGGTAGTTGCTGAAAAGTCACTGATAAACACAAGACATGCTAAATAAATGTTTCTTCCTCCCATTCTTCAAGTAGTACATAACTCTGCAKAGCCCAAGGACATCCCTATGGTAGTGAAAGGGAGAACACTCTGTTGTCGTGAATGTTCAGCTGAGCTTGGCTGCATGCAGTTGGTAACATCTCTCTCCAGTGTTTCCCCATGAGGTGTGGTGCACCGTGCGTGCTCCCAGGCCTAGGAGTGTCTGGGTGAAGTACATGCACCTTTCACCCAAACTGCAGGAGCGTTTGGACGTGCACTCTGTACCCAGCAGAAATGCAACTCCTCAAGGGAGGAGATAACACTGTMCTTGTGCATCTCTTAATATGATTGTATTCTAACTGTGGCTACATATTACCTGGCTGTTGTGCTTGCAGTGAGAACTTYCAACACTACCTGTGTTCCTTCTCTTGTTCTTCCTTATTCCTCTTTCTGAACTCTGCTTCTGCAGTACCTCTAGTTACTAACCTTGCTTTTTGCAGACTACCAAAAAGTGGCATCGTTTTTCGTGACTTTTCCACTAAACAAGGTTTCTTGTAGGGCATGGAAAATGGCTCTCCAGGATGCCAGAACAAACACGGTAAGTGTACTACCCAGACATCATACTGAGAGAAAAGCAGCCTGTCGGTGCTGTCTGTGGCCCAGCAGTTACCTTTCAGATCATGTTCCACCCTTCTCTAATGGAGTAAAACAGGGCCATGAGCATGATAATGAGAATTGTGTTGCAGCAGCCTGTGTGTGAGGAGAAGAATGATGGCCTGGATCACAAGCATGTCATCCCTGTAGTCAGGTTCAGGGAATAACTGGGAAGCTTATCTGCAGGGGGGGTGAGCACTGAAGCTGCAGGCAAAAAGTATGTAAATCTCATGTAAAGCAGATGAAATACACTCTCCACTCCTTATAGTAGTTATTGTCAACCAAGGGCAAAGGTCAAGAAMACTTAGTATGTGATTCCTTTGACCTAAACAGGAAGCTCTTTGTTTCTGTAGCTTCATTACACTGTGCCTTGCCCCTTGCAGGGAATCGGAGAGGGSAAAGAGGTGCTTGGAGGGGAGAGCAGGCATGCCAAGGAGGAGGGGAGGGGTGGCTTAGATGTGTCTGTGTGTGACACCTCTCTGGTAAAATGTTCAGGCGCCTCTGTAGGCTGCCCCATTTGCTTGCTTAATGGGGAAGTTTGCTCATAGGCTTGCAGAACTCTAGAGTGCCAGGAAGTAGCYGAACTTAGATATGAAGACTTCTTTATTTGAAAACTGAGGATGAACAAGAGGGTAACCTCTCAAACTGGGAACATGAACTGGGGGAGGAGTCTGTTTGCATGCATGCACACGCACACAGGAGAAATTGGATGGCTCCTTCCTGGAGCTGATGAGGCAGTCATATTCTGACAGGCCTAGCCTGAAAATAGTGTCTTGTTGCAGCATCATATACAGCACTCACTACTTTCTTGATATGTGACATCCTAAACTCTTTCACTGGGTCATTAGGTTTTAGTCCTCGCACTGTTCTAACTGGCTGTTTGTAGAAGGCAATAACTGCTCCTTCTTCATGATGTTTAGGGTTATGTGGGATCTGAAGTGATGTACGATGAGACGGCCATTTCCTCAGCGCCTCCTCCCTATACGGCATAYGCTACACCGTCACCCGAGGTAAGAGCTGCTATCAGCAAGCACTAACACAGCTGACGTAGCAGAAACAGCCATTCTTAACAGCATYCAGCACACATTTTAGCAAGCCTTTAACTATGCTACAAATAAGGGAGAATTAAACGAAGTGCATAATTAGATGTTTGGCAAAGAAACCTTCTGTAATGGACCTTTTTAATCTCTCCAGGTTTATGGCTATGGCTATGACCAGTATAGCGGTGGGTATCCCCCCACTGGTCCTCAAGTCTTCTATGCCTCCAATGGACAAGCCTATGCTGTTCCCTATCAATATCCCTACCCAGGTAATTCTCATCAACCATACCTTCCATCTGCATGTAGAATGTATTTGAGAAAGTCTTTCTGGCTTTAATTCTGTTAATCATCATCCTTTTCATATTATAGGAGACCTAGCCATGATAGTTGTGGCTTGTTTCAGATGTAGCATATTGACTAAAACACCCCTTTCAAGTTCCTTTATCACCCACCACCCCCGCACAAAAGTGTAATAGAAAGAAGCCTGACTTCTAACTGGAACCAAAGCCCCAYTGCCTTTCACAACCCAGGAACTGCGGTGAAATTTGTATTAAATGATCTAATGTTCCAAGCATGATCCCAACTTATTTAAATTGCTTTCCTTTATAAATCTTTCTGAAGCACACGGAACACTTTAGTTCAATAGGTAGCATGCTCTCTAAGGAAAGAGAGGAGAGCTACAGCAAGAGTGGTCCAATACKCTAAATAATTGGTGGAGCTTTTGGTTGCTCTGTCTCTCTGTATACATACCTCAGTTATTTCAACGGTGATATTCAACTATGACTCTAAAAACAAAGGCAAAAGTTCCAAAGGTAAATAAATCCACTCCCAAAGCGTGACAGAAACTGTTTTCTCTTTTGGATCTTGTGATTGCTGTGAGGAAGTACATTCCACCCTCTGCAATCTCCTCCTGCTTTGGTTTGCTGAGRGCAAGGTAACTCGCAATCCCAAAGAAAGAGGGAAGAAGCTAAAATTGTAGGGTGTGCTTTTGGCTGGATTCAAAGCAGAGATGTGTTCTGACATTGCAGCTGACATCATCTTAGTGTTCAGGGAAAAAAGGAGGGTGAAGAGGGGAATCAGCATGTTTTGAAATCCTAGTGCACAGAACTAAAACCTACATTTTTCTTCTCAACCATCTCTTATTACCTAGGACCTTATGGCCAGCCCCCTGCAAACCATGTCATCATTCGAGAACGTTACCGCGACAGCGATGGAGATCTTGCACTGGGCATGCTTGCAGGAGCAGCAACTGGAATGGCCCTGGGATCATTATTCTGGGTTTTCTAGATTCCTTAGTTTCTTATTGTTGTAGGTCCAGAAATCTTTATTTAATTCTGCGTGCAATAATATATTGGCAATGTTGTTTACTGTTAAACTTTAAGAAATGCAATAGTTATTTTTCAGTAGTGACATCTTAATAACTGATTCTTAACTGTCCTAAGGAGAGTTTAAAGGCACCATTTAGTTGAAGTGGTTAAAGATGGCATGTGCTGCTCTTGAAGTCTGCTGTGATGTTCGCAGTCTTAAGGATTTGTACCAATACAGATCAATATTAGCACTAACATAATAGCAGTCACTAGGTTTATGAACAGCTTTATGTTTATAAACACCCTAGAAACACTTCTTTTGTCCAAATATAAGGTTTATAGGAGTCTTGCATTAGAGTGCACATACTATTGCCTTCCAAAYGTTCCTCCGACAGACATGCAGCCTCAACGTGTACTCCTCAGCACTAGGTGGACTGTCACACTTGACATTTTTTTAGCTTAAAACCTGCCTGCAGATGGTAGTGTATTTTTTTTATATGGAGTCCTATATATATTTATTAACACTATCTGGGCAGATTAGACTTTTTGAGAATGTGTAATTCAACTGCTCAATAAAAACACTCCACAGTTCTTTCATTCTCCCAGATAATGTGAATGACCAGTGGCAAGAAATAGAAATGCTTGCTCCCTCTTTATCCTGAATCACTCTTCTCTGGTCAGACGGAAGCAATGAAACTTCAGCTTCTGAAGTTGTCCTCCGTGTCTGTACCAGCTGCTCTGCTGAGGACGAGGCGCTTGGCTGGTGTGTGTGCGCCTGTTACTGCTGCCACTCTGCAGGGTCTTCTCTGTGGGAGAGGTACTGTGAACAACCCTTGCCCTGCTGGGCCTGGCAGAGCCCCTTTGCGTGCAGTCATACAGAGAGGGAAGAGAAACAGCATAACAGCACGGGCAGACCTTGCACACAGGCACTTTATTATCAGCTGCCTTGCCATGGCTGGGATAGCMCCTACCTCTGGGCCTGCAAGGTTTCCTGCACCAGATTCATGCCTGCAAGTAGATAGGAGCACAGCTGAGGCTGCTCCTATGCGCACTTTCCCTCGCAAGATTTGTTAAGAAAACACCCCCCAAGGAAGCTGGCTGGCTTTGCTCGTGTGCCTGGTTCCTTGCACGGCGGCTGCTGTGCTCCAGGCTCTCCCTCAGAGCTGCGCCGTGGCCTGGCACATTGTCCTGTTACRATCCACGCTGAGCTGTGCTTTGCAGAGCAAAGAAATGCACGTGCTTTCATAATTAGCTACAAGAGGCAGGGTGCCTAAGTTGTGTTCTTTATAGCAAGAGGACTTATTTTTATACTTGCACTTTTAGCTTCTGGTAATCATAGTTTCAATAATATAAGGCTTCTTTTTAAGTATCTTTTAGAAATAGGTTAATTTTCTCAAGGTTTCTCAAGGGCTTATGGTATGTCAGAAAAGATGAAAACAGATGGAAGCTGGCACCATATAAATTTAGACCAACCTTCAAACAAGCTTTTACATTTCACCCTCAAGTTGCCTTGGCTGGGCCCGTGGGTTGAGGCAATACAGGTCCCCGACCACAGTCTGGACAGAAACCAAGGCAAGCCCTAAGTTTTCCTGACTCTTGCTACCAACGTGAACAAATTGAAACCATCGAAAGGAAACACACAGGTTATCTTGACTGCATTATTAACTGGGGACCTGATGCAAGCTTCTTCCAAGAAACCTTGGATGGGAACTGCATACCTGTGTGCATGCAGGTCCTTCTGCAGATGAATAGGAGATGCTTATGTTCTGCTAACAATACATACTGAAGGACTTTATTTGTTGAAGGTTCAAAAGAGGACTAAAGCATAGAGTCTCCAATTGCTAGGTCAAAAGGAAGGAACTGGCAAGAGACTTAGTACCCTTGAGCTCAGAGGAGACTGGGACTTAAGTGGACAAACCTTACCAACCTTTTCAAGCCTTGATATAACCTTGAAGCTGGTTGTGCATCTGCTGTTTAGAGTCATTTGAGCTTTGTACTCTTAGCTGGTTATGCAGAATGCCTCCATCTCTTCTTCCTGTATGATACTTAGCTTGTCGGGGTGGGGGGAATAAAACAAATGAACATCATTTTAACTTCCTTTGAATTTCATAACCATGGTGAAAGAATAGCACAGAATGACTCAGCTAGTAATTTATCCTAAGTTCCGACTTTTTCCAAGAGCTGTTGCTCACAGCAGGGAAGCATGCATCTTGTGCTTGCAGGGGATAAGTGTTTCTAGATCCTGAATTTATGAAAGGGAAATATAAAGACAATTGATCATTCYTAGGATTAATTCAAAGCAATAAATGATGCTTTCTGAAAGTTTAAATTGAAGTGCCTGTTTTTTAAATATCATCAGATAACCATAGCAAGTAGTATATTTCTCAGGGGGAAAAAAAAAGTGAAGGTGGAAATTCCAGTTTGTTCTGATACAGTAGGCTGCTTTTTACAAAAACTGTCAGCGACCTTTTTATCCTAATAGCACAGCACTTGGGTCACAGCAAGCCCATGCAGTGCTATAGGCCTGGGGCAGAGCTGTGTGGCACAAAAGGACCTGGGGGTGCTGGTCAACAGCTGAACACGAGCCAGTGGTGTGCCCTGGAATGCCAGCGGCCKCCTGGCTTGTATCAGGAACAGTGACCAGGGAAGGGGTCGTCCCCATGTACTTGGTGCTGGTGAGACCACACCTGGAATCCCGTGTTCACGTTTGGGCCTCTCACTCCAAGAAGGACATTGAGGTGCTGGAGTGTGTCCAAAAAGGGGTAAYGAAGGCAGTGAAGGGGCTGGAGCTCAGAGCTTACGAGGAGCAGCTGAGGGAGCTGGGTTATTTAGTCTGGAGAAGGGGAGGCTCAAGGGTGACCTTATTGCTCTCTGCAAGTACCTCAAGGGCAGTTGTACTGGGTAAAATCTAAAGTTGGGTCTGGACTAGGGTTGGGAATCAACATCTGGGGTAAAGTGCGGGGTCAGGTCCGGGGTCAAGGTCTGGGCTTGGTTCCTGGGCTGGGTCCAGGATCAAGGTTCACTGTTAGCGTTTGAGGTTACGTCCGGGGTCAAGGAACAAGGTAAGTTCTGGGGTCAGGTTCAGGGTCAAGGTCCAGGGGTCAGGGTCCACAGTCAAGGTCTGGGATCAGATGGAGAGTCAGGTCCGGGGTCAATGTCCAGGATTAGGTGTGGGATCAGGGTTTGCTGTTATGATCCAGGATCAAAGACCACAATTGAGTCCAGGGTCAAGGTCTGCAGTTGTCACAAGAGTGACTATTAGATAACAAAAAGAACCAAGCAAGTAATATTGCAAATGTTGGGGTGAGAGCTCAAATTGACATAAATCATCTCAGTTACTACTTGAAAAAGGTGAGGTATCCTCCATAAAATCAGCAAAGTAACTCCACGCTCAACATCGGTACATCCAAGATTAGAGTTAAGGCCTATTTCTTTTTTTAAATGGCATTGAAGGCTTAGACTCAGAAATGCTTAATCCTGGATATGTGTAACRGTGATCCAGATTTACCATTTCACGCTATATTATCAAATCATCAGATTTGTACTGTCTAGTATTAAAATAAGCAGCTTGGAGCACAGATGTTGCTCTGGGCAAAATGCTACTGGTTGCTGTATTGGTATTTACTGCTTCAGTCTCATCAGCTACAATCAGTGTTTAGATAGTGGCACTAAATGACCGCAGTTAGCTCCACTTCCTAGGGGCAGACTATCTTAAATGCTTCCCAGTTATTAAACCATTTGCCCAAGGACCGCAGTGTGTTTTGTGAAACACTAGTCTTGCTTTAGACACATTCTGGTTTTGCTGTCCAAGAAGTGATGCATTTCCTGGTAACTAATCTGGGAGAGGAGTGAAAACAGCCACAGTTTCAAGCAGTCAGTCAATATTGGGATACATTTTGCTTTCCCAGCCCTCTAAGCCATGATGATAATGCTTATTTCATCAGTCATAGGCTCAGAYTGCTGAAACTTCTGTCCCAGAAGGGGCCAGGGAAGCACATTTGCTGTGCAAAGCCCAACAGCTCCCAACATCCTGGCAGTGCCAAGGTCCTGGATGACGCCTGGCCTGGGGGCAGGCTTTGCCTCTCCTACTGCACCCCCTGGCCTCTTTGCATTCATTAAATGCAGCCATGGTAATTAATTTGGGTTGTAACCCTAAAATATCTTTGTTTATCCTTCTCTCACACTGCAGCTCCACTGCAATGTATAGAAATGTATGGAGCATTCACTCTTCCTTCTGTTTTTGTAAAGAGAAAGTTTTCTCCCCCACTCTGCTGTGAACATGGACTAATTATCAAGCAGAGCTTGTAACACAGCACTGTAACTCCCATGGATGCACTAGTGTGGGGGACTCTTGCGATTAGCACAGGTTATGTCACCAGCTTTCAGGATTTTGAAGGCATTTCTAAAAGGCTCGAGACTTAACAGAGCTAATAAAATCGCCCAAGCATCTCTAGCAGTAATGTAAAGCTCACACTCRGGTGATGATTTTGAGGCACAGGTTGTCAAAGTTTGGAGCTGACAACACTGGGCTTAATGTGACTGAGCACAGAACCACAGCATCCTGGAGGTTGGCAGGGACCTGTAGCGCTCATCCAGGGCAACCCCCCTGCACACACTGCCTCACCTGGAGCGTGTGGCACAGCGTTGCGTCCGAGCGGGTTGTAACATCAATATGATAGTTATAACATTAATGGTGCCTTATACTCCAGATAACAAAGCTAAATAWCTATTTCGGAAAATAAAAACGTAGGCTTTAGACGTGCCAGACAAGGAAAGGTTAAGAACAGAGCGTGAGCCAAATTATCACAGATAAGCACGAGCCTGTGGGGACYGAGATGAATTCACGGCTTGCGCTGCTCGCAGAGCAGGGGCCACACGACCCGCCAGCCGCCGGCCTCCTGCGCCAGCTACCCTGGGGTCCCGGCGCGCGCACCGCGTGGAGGGAGCAGCCCTTTCCCGCGGGGCGGCGGCGCTGCCTGCGCCCGGACGGCCGCTCTCCCCTCCGCAGCAGCTCCCGCGGCGGGGTGCGCCGCCACTGAGGGCTCCTGCCCGCCCCGCGGCCTCCTCCCGCGGCCGCGCGGGCCCTCTGAGGCCAAGGGCCG